GGGGGGGAGGCTGATCATGCTCCAGAGACATCTACAGATGTCCCTGGATGCCAAGCCCCTACATGGAGTGCATCTGCAAGCAGTGAAAAATCCCTGCTTACAGATGTGCCCCTTCTTGCTGGGGAGCAGGAGAATCCCCTGCAGGGGATTTCCCCACAGGTATCTGCAACTGCGTCCCCAACCCCCTCACTCTGTTCTTGTAGGAATGCCCAGGGAACTGCCCTGCAGAGCAATTCCCTTGGGCACTGCCTGGGGTGGATGCTTGCAAGCAGGGAACCCCCACTTGCAAACAAGCACTTTGGAGCCCCAACTTTCCCCCCTGAAGGGATGTGTCTGCGGGAGCACAGAAAGTGATGCAGGGGCTCATAAAGCTTGAGGGGGCTGATAGTGCCTGGGAATTCCTGGGGTGCACAAGACTGGGCCCCTCAAGCCTGAGAAGCCCTTATCCAAGGGAGGCTAGAGAGCCTGGGCAGTCTCCGCTCTTCTGCCATAAGCAAACAGATGTGGGCCATAATAAAAGCAGCCCAATTCATTATTACCTCTGTCACAGACACAAATTTGAGCATTTGTGGCATGACAGAAGGTATGGACTGTTTGTTTTCACTTCCTGTCGCTGTAAATATTTTTATGGTGGCACAAAGGTGATGTCTGTTTCTACTCTTAGAGGCAATCCGCACTTGCAAAAGTAGACCCAGATGTGTTAGGGACCCTAAGTCCTCTTTTTCTAGGAGGCAGTGTGGGCCAATGGATATAGCACTAAACTGGTACTTAAAAGACCTAAGTCTTATTCCTGATTTTGTTATTACTTTGCTGAATGATATTAGTCAAGTTTGTTCATCTTTTTGTGCCTCAGTTTCCTCAATTATAAATGAAAATGGCTTCCATTATAATGAGCTCTGAGATCTACAGTACTGTAAAAGCTAAGTATCATCACCATTTGGAGAGGTTGATAACCTAACTCTAGGTCAAATGTTAAGATATGTGAGACATCTAATTACAGAGATAGTTAGCTGTGTTAGTCTGAAGTCAGGAAGAAGGCTGGGTAGATGTGTACCTTACCAACTAACTAAATCAGAGACATACAAGCATATGCTTTTGTAAGCAGTTACTTTGAGAGATGACAGCATCTTATGAAGTAAACCCTCTGCTTATAAAAGCATATGCTATACACCTCTGATTTAGTCTGTAAGTTGCAGATCAGATCTACTCAGCCTTCTGCCTGACTTCAGACTAACAGTTAACTACATCTCTCTACTCATGGACAGCACTCCATTAAATCTAGCTACAGCACATACACAAAAAATAGCACCACTGTGGCAGCTCTAGATTAAAATGAAGAATAATTATGCACACTTAATTCCCAAGAAAATAAATAAGGTGAATTTTGAACACTGATGCACACATCAGTTAATCAACTTAATAGTGGAAGATCCTATTTTAAAACCTGCCAGTGAATACAGTGCTTTAAAAGATACTGGACTGACAAGTGTGGAGGTCATAGCACTGATAATCTCTGAAGAGGTACGGGATGGATATGCCTGAGGAGCCAAGAACCCTGTCTCCCTGTTGACTACATACTTCAACTTTCATCTCAAACTGTAAAAGAGGACAGCAACTCGGAGAGTAGACATTGTGATGCATGTCATTTAGGCCCCTGGCAGACATACATTTAAAGGTGCCATGGGATTTGGGATCAGATCCCAATCACATGCTATTGCTGGTGTAGGGAGAACCCAGGATCATGATCTCAGGATCCCCCTGCACTGGCAAGTAACAAGCTGGGGGCCTGGTGCTTCCCCAGCTGAGAGTACTGGTTGGCTGACTGACACTCCCAGCTGCAGGAGCGCATAAGGGCCCTTGGCTCCAGGCTTAGCCAAAGGCTCGGGTGCACTCCCATGGCTGGGAGCCCCAATCAGCTGACCAGTGCTTGTAGCCACAGGAGTAGGCTCGAGTCTTGAAGGGCTCTGGTGCACTCCTGAGGCTGGGAGCAGCCACATGTTCAATTCAGGGCAGAGCAAGAACCAGCCAAAAAGTTATTATGCTTGTTTTATGAAATAACTTTGCGGCTTATTCCCTGCTTTATTTTATTGCACCATTAATTGCTTGAATGAGTGGCTGGTTTGCTAACGATAGGATTCCCTGGTTAAACATGTCATAAGTGTAACTTCTGCCAGGGGCCTTAGATCAACTGTAGAGCCCCAGTGATTAAGGAACTAGATGCAGATTCAGGAAAAGAGTCCAGGTCTTGGTTCAACTACAGACTTCATGTGTGACTTTGAGTAAGTCATTAACCCTTTCCATGCCTCTGTTTCCCATTTATAAAAAGGAAGATGAAACTACATCCCTTCTCCACCCCTCTGTTGTCTAATTAGCTTCTTACAATAAGTGTGCCTGGGGCTAATCTTAGATGGCACTGTTTAAATAGCTACAATTTTAAACGGGCTCTGAAAAGGCTGTAAGAGAATGATTTCTAATCACTACTAATCCTGGGGTAGTTCTGAACCGGTAACTTCCTAGTGAAAGTTTCCAAATTCCTGTTAGAAAACTGCTGGATTGTAACCCTGATGTTAGACTTCTGAATGCTATAATAGTCTCAATATAAATAATGTGCTAACTGCTCACCTGTAGTCGAGTAACCTCTCCATTAGACGTGTTACAGTAGCAATTAATGAAACGCCACTTTCTCTCCATGTTTCCCGCTCAATTTTCTTCAGTAGGCTGGAAAAAGTGAACCCAGAATATTTTCACCATTTATTTTTATCTGTCACCATGACAACCACTCTACTCTCAGCAGTATCTGAGAGGCCTTAGCAACATCTGCAACATTCAGGGATTTAATTTGACATTCTTCTCACAAGCAGCACAATTTGCAAACAAATTCTTACCTAGGATAGGGACCAAAGAGTGGAATTCTAATCCAGGAAGCAGTGACAAAGCAAATGGATTTTTAAGTTAGCCATGTCAAGTCAAATGGCACACAAATATTAGAGAGAAAATACACAAATATTTCAAAGCCTTAGATTATAATATATACTTTTTGTTTTTCTTTAATTCATTATATGCAAGCATTTAAGAAAACAGAAAGAAGGGGAAGACTTACCTAGAAGAGAACATTAAGAATTTTAAGATTCCTTTTCAATGGAACCATGCTTTGCTAATGTAAGGATTGCTCCAGCCTACAATAATTCTGCACCCACACAACTTAACTATATTGTAATTGCAACAGGAAAAAGCTTTTTATTTAGGGAAGGTTTTTTTGTAACATGTTCCCTTCATTTAACAGCTTCCACTCAGTACATACTATCTACGCATTTACAGTTTCATGCATTTAACTGTTGAACCATCAAAAGATCCTAAAGATGTAACACTCTGCTCTCCCTTATATGAAGGTAAATTAGGATTACACACTGAAACAAACTAATTTACACTGATAAATGTGGCATAATAGATGGAGCTGGCAGCAACATAATTGTTAAGATTGGCTTACATTATTTAATCACTTGGACTGAAATTTTCTGCATTTTCTCTCTTCCTAAGAATCTGCTTCTTGAAAGTTTCAGAAAGAAATGTTCAGACATTTCAAAGAAGGAGGTATGGGTAAAACAGAGAGCTTTCCCAATGATAAATCATTACCCAAACAGTCATTAATATACGGAGTTCTATTACTTCCACGGTGAGGTGCAGGATTCTGCAATCTGGCACGATGCCGAGTCCAGAGCTCATAGAGGTGTTTGTCTGTGTCCATGAAAATCTACTTAGACTTGGCTGTGTTATAAGCCTCTGAAAACTGTCATTTACACATACTCAACAGGACTTTGGAGGCTTGTAGATAAAACGTCAGAACTTCTGTCTACATCAGGGAAGCTCCCAGCTTCACTGACCTTCATCTGAACAGATCTCCAAAACTCCTAGGGCAATTTTACACATGCTCCAGGACGCGGCATCAGGTGCTTTAATTAGCAAGCTGCACTAATTAAAAAGCGTCTGCATATCATGTGCATCATATCAGCATCCCCACACTGAAAATATGGCAGCTTTGAACTAAAGTTCACTGAACATGTTTTATTTCAAAGCACCCCATTTTTTTCAGTTAAGGGATGTGCAGGGACGCTGATACACGTGACGTGGAAGGCTGCCAGAGTGTGTCAATTTCCATGCTCCAGCAGACCCGATTAATTTGAAATCCAGTGCATCAGAGCAGGCTCCCCACATGTCTATAGGAGCCCCTATATGCTAACTGCACTGAGTATAAACCATGCCCTGTTCAATTTCCTATGGGTATAGTATAAAATGACTTTTGATATGAATACTTACTCTGAACACGTGCAAATTCACACACCGTACACAATTATCTATCTATGCTCTTTGTCTGTATACGTGGACATATGTTAAAGATAGATAGATAGATAGATAGATAGATAGATAGATAAAGAATATTTATTTAAATAGAAAAAATAGTTTTTTCCAATTGGGCAGTTGTATAGGTTGTGTTCTGTGCATACCTCCTTTTTTGCATGACATACCTTTCACAGATGTAACACAGAGCAAATATGTACATCAAGAGCCATTCAAACACACCCCCTGGCTTCCTCATGGCAGTATCTAGATAGACTTATAGGAAGAAATGCCTGGCATGTCAGCTCTGCCTTCTTTCTCTTCACAACATGGTGTCTGAAATTCTGTGCACACTTTATTTAATACCTCTTCTCCTTGATCCCATTCCCAGATCTGTTTGCTTACCAGCCACCCACATGCAGACACATTTTTTTCTTTGGCCTGAAGCCTGCTTGCCTTCATCGTTCAGTTCTTGTTAGACACTGGACTTGACATATGGCACAGGTGCAGGGGATTGTAAATATTGTGCAAAAGTGAGGGACAGGACAGGCAGTGCAAAGGAAACTGACTCTGCACTAATAAAAGCACATCTGCAGGGTCTTTTTACTTAAACCTCCATGCTTGGGTAACTCCAAAAAAGAAAAAAAGAAAAAGCAGGATAATCAGCATCTCAAATGGCATCATGAACCCCATGTCACCATTTTGGCACCTCTTAAGAACAAAGGAGTGGATACAAAAGAGAGTTATATCTGTCCAGTGCAGAGGATATACTTAGATATTGACCTTGCTATATGCTTAATCTCCAATCATACTCATACTGGAGCATAATCACCTTGCACTATTCAGGAGTTACTGATCAAAGAGTCTCATAACTGCCCACCTGAATTGGGCACTGGAGATGAAGTGAATCCCAATGCAATCTTACAATGGTCAGAGTTTTCTTCTTTTTACTTTATTAAGCAAACTTGTTAAATCTTCCATGTGTAACTCAGTGGCATTTGATAACTTGTCTCTCTCTCTGTAATGCAATAACTTTTGAACATCTCATTGAACAATTCCAAAATTTCAGGGAAAGTTCTAGGAATTAAGGGGCACCCCTCTGATGATTCTGGTGGACACAGAAATCCTTCTAGCATGAGGGCAGAAGGAAGTTAAGAGCAACGTGGAAAGGAGAGAACAAAGACCCTCTAGCTTAGGCTAGAGAATGGGGAATGATGGTGTGGTGACAGGAGGCACTCAGACCCCATGCCACAGTGAGAAGGAAGGAATGGAGCCATTATGGAAGGGAGAAGGGAAACAACTATGGGTTTCCCAGACAGCAAATAAGGAACAATGATGTAGGAAAGGGGGAGAAGTTGCACACATCTCAGGTACATGGGCGCAGGAAATGGAAGATACAGAGTTCATAGAATTGGGAAATATGTGGGGAGTTGCAATGATGCCCTGAAATAGAAAAGGGCTGGGAGGGTGGCACACAGGAAAATTGTTGTGGGGAATGCAGGATTAGGAGGAGCTCCTGGTACATGCAGTGAAGTAACTGACATTCTATTTCATTTAAAAACACCAAAGGGCACTGGTTGCTCTTTGCAATACATACATTATAAAATAAGGACATAGGAGTGGAAGGGATCTCCTGGGTCAACAATTGAGATCTTTGCTACTGGAGGCAACAACGTTATATAATCCCTTTCATAAACTGACTCATCTAAAAAGCATTTTGTTCCTGCTACTTTTATTGGACCCTGATATGAAGGTGGCTTCACCCAGTCAGTTTAGAAGGTTGCAGTAATTCTATACAAGGTAATTACTAGCAATTTTTGGAAATGAAGGGCTTACATATGAGCAATGGTTTTAAACTAAAAAATGGCTTCTGTTTTGAGTAAGTGATCAGAATACTACAGAGATGTAGCCTGAACTCTCAACAAAGTATTGATGATTAACATTCCTATGTTATTTAACTAAGACATTCAATTATTTTTAATCGCAGAGTAACAATTTGAAGTCAGATCAGGATCTTTTCCCATGTGGATTACATTGGACAACAAATATAGCAATTTGTCCTTGATTACAACAAAATATGTACTTGTCCATCTTTAGTAACAGTCCCCAATGACGCCTTGCTGATCGCAAGCCAGCTACTGTCTGGTCCCTTCTAAGCCTCCTGGGATGAAGCCTGCCCAAAAATGAATAGCAGCAACATTTTCCCCACTTGCATTTTATGGCATATTTCATTATGAACATCAAACCCCACAGCCTATAACAGTTTAAACCTGTCCAGTGACATTTGTAATTTGGCTTTGAAAGCATGATGTGCTTTCAATGCAAAGAGGTTTGTATGTTGCTCTGAAAAAATTAAGTTAGCCTGGGAATCTTGAGATACAAAAGTTTTTTTAATTCCAGCACTCTGCAGAAAGAGAAAACAGGACAAAACCCTAGACTCCTACAAAACACTATGTAAATTATTATCCTATATCCAGAAAATGCTAGAAAAGTATACCTCTCTCTCCTTCATTTTGTATTTGCTTAGGAGTGCCTATTAAAAATAAATTGGGGGGCATTCTTAAGACTCATAGGGCACGTCCCCATAAGCATGCACATGCAGGGGCATGTGGCAAATTGACCCGGGTGGGGTAGGGGAGGCTAAGGCCAGTACCTGTGCTGGCCCCAGCAGTCTTACCTGGGGTCTTGGTGACTCCTAGGGCAACAGTGGCATTAAGCCGGCTGCTTGGAGCCTGGCCAGCCAGAGAATGGCTCTGGCCGGCCAGGCTCCCTTTCTGCTATGCCACCTTTTTCAGCAGTGGTTTCTTTCGACACTGGAATTTCCTGGTATCAAAATAAACCACCACACTGCTAATTAGCAGCATGATGAACAGGTGAACATGCATTGTGTGCAGTTTATGGTGCCTTGTTCAGACGTGCCCATAGTTGGTAGTTCATTTTGCCAAAACATTCAAAACTTACTTGCTTGAAAACTATGCTAATTTTTCACAATTTCTTCAGTTAACATCATTCTATCAACATCTTAATCTAATCACATTTGCATTGTTTTTAAATCAAGGAAGTACAGCACCAAAACCCTTCGATAATATTTGTTTAAATTACTGATGGAAGAAAAAAATAATCTGATGTGTTGTCAGTAATAAGCCCAGTATAATAATGACCACAAACCTTTACACATGTTTCAGCATTTTTTCTTTCTTCAAATCACAAGGTATAATCTCCATTTTAAATGCCTTTTGACTTATGTCCTTCAGTCAAGGCAGATGCTATGATACAGTGACTGGTTTATAAAAAGTTTTAACCTATTCTTCCACACTCTTTGTATAATGCCTCCACCATTTAAAACTTCCCAATAAAGCTTAAGTTTTTTCCCCCAAGAACTGTATTTCAGATGCTATATACTTTATCTTACAGTTACAATTTTATTTTTAAATTATTTTAAAGCTTTGCTATGAAAGATTTTGAACTTTTCTTATCTTTTATTACTTTTGCTCACACTTAAACATTCCAAGAAGTACTACTACAGTTTATAGTTTAACATACTCTGTTATAGGTCTCCATCATTCAGTCATTTCTGCTTTCCTTTGGATGTTATGAGCAGAAATAAGTATACTAGAAGACCAGGGTTTTTTCTCTGACTGCGATTCTAGATGGTTATGTTTGCCAGAGCACAGGTACAGAGATATGAATGCAGTTTATTTGTAGAGTTAAATGTGATTTTTCTCTCACTTAAAAAGAAGTCACTCAAAACAAACACACTGCATGTTTAATAGGATTAGAAAACAAACATACAACATGAAACCCAGTGGAAGAACAATATAGCCACTTCTGAAGTTACTGGAGTCTTATACTGAAGTCTTACACAGAGTTGGAATTAATTTGGGAAACATAAAGGAGACAAGAGTTTAGTTCATAATTTGACATCAATGATTACATTTGATGGGAATAACCTGTGGAGCACCCTAAGGGCTCCAGAATAAAGGACAGCATTTACCCTCCTCCACTGTAAGATTCTCTTGTTATGAATCAATAACATGCCACTTCGTAACATATATGTAGTGGTCAAATAATCACTTGTAAAATAATTATAATAAGAAGGTAAGCTGCTCACAGTAAAATAGTCATAACATCAATCAAAACATCCAAAAGTGAAAACCTTATTTGGATAATAGCAAGTTTTGGTCATCTGTGAAACGGATTTCATAATCAGCTGCTTGCTTTTACAAGGTTATATAAAAAAAAAAAAACCCACACCCCACCTGCAACCCCCACACAACAAATGAACATCTCTAGCTTTTCAGATTTCAAAATTATTATGAATGATAATAGTTTATGGTATAACATACACTGCCTCTCCCCCCAGGTATAGCTGTAAATAAAAAGACATGCTCAGTTATTGAAGATACAATAAGAACATCTTCATTTAGGCAATTAGCCTTTATTTCTTAGCTTCCAAAAGAAACAAGGATCACAGCTGCTTTAGTAGTTTTAGTCCACACAGATTTTTAGGAGCTAACAAACTGGACTGAATAAATGAGTTAAGAGTAATTTATTACTCACATGCTATTGAAGAGCTCCCGGTAGGTTTCATCACCCTTGCCTTCTGACATCAAGCTATCCAATTTGTCAATCAGTTTAGCTTCCACCTGCAACACATACATATAAAAGGCTTTTTTTCTTGAATTAGATTTGGAAAAAAAAAAGGGGGGTTGATAAATGAATCCCCTAAATTATTGGTTAAAAAGTAAAACTGAATTTTATGACAAAAGATTTAATCTCTTTTAAATTGCAACCATTCCTGAGGATTTTTAAAAAATAATTTAAATGGAATAATGTGACTTAAACCTATGAGCTGAGCAGCATTTGCTGCTGCTGCGGCAACTATCTATTTATGGACTCAAATGAAAAAAAAAAGCATACAACCCAATGAGACTGAATTCTTACCACAGGCTATAAGACCTCAATATAAAGCTACCTTCTTTGCCTCCATTAATTAATTGTATGATGACTTATCCTCTTTGGCAATTTGGGGTTCACAGTTACTCTTGTCACTGTTGAATCCCCTCACCTCAAATATGCCTCAAACATGCTGCTTTAGAAATCTAGTGCAATGGATTTCCCAGTCAGTTGTCAAGAAAAGCTAGAGCATAAAGATTTTGTAGCCAATGATGATTGCAGTAATTATTGATCACTATTTATTATTGAAGCAAAGATGCTAGAATAAATTTCCTTATAGCAATAAAGATATTTAGTAACTAAAAACAAGAATTAAGGATCTTATTGTGAAAGTGCTCTGCTAAAGGGTAAATCATAATTCCAGCATACCATTAAGCCAATGACCAATACAGAAAGAAGCAGAAAGTTGGTATATTGCTTATGCAAGATTTATTTTTCCATTAGTCCTTATTAACAATTTGATAGTAAATCTAATAACATACTAAAATATTAAAAGGGAAAAAACACCTACTTACATTGCATGCACTTCTTCTTCTCACAGTTTGTTTTTTGTTTCTAGTTAGAGATCCCACACTAATCCGTATCATTGCTTGAAACTAAGTCAAATACACTCTGTTTCATTTAAAGCAGGAGGGAGGAGAGCAGAACGAAGTGGCTTGAAGCAGTGTAAAGGAACCAAGTGGGAGCTGCAAGAGCAGATGGTACACTTGGTAGTTCCTTACTTGCTGGCTAAGCAAGTGCTTGAGTGGCAAGAAGAGCTGGATCCTCACAGGGGTTGGTTTCTCATAAAAACAGGGGGTTTTGTCAACTGGGAGGGCAGATAGTAGAATCCATCTCAGTAAACCTTCATAGTATCATTCCTGATTTTCTTCCTAATTATTTTTCCCCACCAATGTAACCCTTACTGCTACAGAACAGAAGAATAAGTTACCCTGAGTGAAATTCTGCCTTACTGATATTATGCTAATTTGGACACTGACTTCACCCTCATCTTAAATAAGTAATGCCAATTTTTGATGTTGACATCTTCAAGGACTTAAAGTATTTCCCTCCAACTGGGGTCACAGCCAGGTACTAGTTGTTCTTCATCCATTTTGCACCATTATAGATCTTGTTAATGAGTTAATTGTTCAGTGCTAGAGTTGAATTTCAATCTTGCCTGATAAACTTCACATACAGTACCTGTTTAAAGTTGCCACTGCGCCTTTGCTCCCAGTCCATCATGTCATGGAAAATGGGAATCATTACATTCCGTAAGTCTGGCTGAGGTATCAATGTCACTTCTAGAAAGGGGCCAATCAATGCTGGGATGAAGTGGAGTTTATGTTCCCCTAAAATTAAAATGAAGTTGACTGTAATTAGAGATTCCCTTCTTGGTAAGTTATGAACAATCCCCATTACTGGCTGCTGTCTGAAGATTACAAAATGGTGGTCTAAATGAAAACAGTTTGGTTAGCTAACAACATTCCTGGCATGGAGTGCTTCTTAAACTCCAGGAAAAAAAGAAGAGCTACGGACAAGACAGGAAAAAGAGTCTGGCTGGTGCATCACATTTCTGAAGAAGCGTTGAGTTTAAGAATGACTGTTCACACTGGTAGATGTTCACTCTCTTTACTGTTCATCTGGAATGGGGGAAAAGAACAAGTAAAAGTTTCCATGATCATCACTTTCTTAAGAACTCTCTCTGACATTCTCCCATAGGCTAGTATAAAGCTAACTGTCTTAACCAGAAAGCTGATGTGCAACCAGTAAACTACTTCTACTATAGGAACCAACGCATTTAGGACATTGTTTTCATAGTGACTGTTTCCTTTTTGCAGGTATGAATTACTCCTATGTGCTTGGCAATAAATGTGGCTAATTATCTGATTTCATGTATGCACCGGGGAGAAGCAGTATAGATTTACACCTCACAGACTAACTAAATGAGAGTTGTATGGCATCAGCTTCTGTAAGCAGTGGGCTTATGTCATCACAGCACCTGATGAAATAAGCCTGCTGCTTAAGAAAGCTTATGCTATGCATCTCTCATTTAGTTAGTCTGCCTGGCTGCAGACTAACACAGTTACCTATCCCTCTCTGCACATTGGGGAAAGACATAAACATGCACATTTGCACCTATCCTTCCTGTTGTGGGTCCAAAAATGAGTACAAATTTTGTCTAAAAAATTTTGCAAGTTGGTATTCTATTGTTCTCAAAACATTTCCTTAACCTATCAAAGCTAAACCTCAGCCATTAATTAATCATATTCAATTTATGTAGTGCAGAAGTCTCAAAACATTTGGCAAATTAAAATAAAACAGGATTTATGTTGCATTAAGTGATGAGAACATTTTCTCTTAGCTTCTGTTACTTGCAGAAAGACCTTAAAGATGATTTTGCTGCATCTTGACTGTTCTCATTTATCAAATGCAAACAGCTAATAAGCATTATAAAATCTTTGCACAGATACTGATTTACAGAGCATAGCAACATACATACCAAACTATTTCAAGTTATAACTCTTAGCTATATTAAAGGTAAAGCTGAACCAGGATTCCTATCAGTTAACTGAGTGCCCTAACTACTCTGTCTTGCTCTCTGCCCCAATCAATACTTAATTATTTATGCACAATGGAATAGCTCTAACAGAAGAGACTGACACTATGGCCCCTGGCAGATGTTACACTTACAACATGATTAACCAGTGAATCATGTCTTAGTAACTTGGTCACATATTCATGAAACTAATGGGGTGATCACACAGGGAATAAGTTACAAAGTTATTATACAAAATGTGTGTAATACCTTTGTGGCTGGTTCCCATAATGCCTTCAGCTGACCATGTGGCTAGTCCACAGCTGATCAAGGCTCCCAGCCCTGAGGTTGCATCAGAACCCTCGACTTGGATGCAGTTGAGAGACTGGGAGCGGCAATCAGCAGACTGGCTTCCGACTGCTGGTGGAGGGAGAGCTCAGGATCATGATGTGGACTCCCCCTGTACTGGTAACATGGTACAATTGGGATCTGATCGCTGTCTCCATAGATGTCCTTCTTGCCATGCATGTGTAGGAGGCTGAGTTGTTGGGACTGTGGGTCACATCCCATTGCACTTTTAATGGAATGCCTGCTAAATGCCTTAATGCCCGATTCAGGCAAGGACACAAACCTGGGACTCCCACCTCCCGGTCATGTGCTCTCATCACTAGGCTATTGGCTATTACAGCCTCCCTTTTTCTCTTGTGCTTTTTTATGAAAAACTTCAAAGAGTGTACATTTCATTCTCGGTTCTGATTAGTGAGGCCACCCTGGGCTCATCTCGAGGTCCTTCTCTAGAGCGGGGTGGCACAGCTGGGTGCGGAGCAGTGGCAATGTGGTGTGTTGGATAGCAGCAGCTGCACATGCAACCTTCCTCCCCCGCATCCGACTGGCCAGGCAGTGCCTGTGCAGCCTGCAAAGGGGCACCGCTGCCCTCGCTCTGTCCTGGCCCTGCTCCTGGGATGTGGTGGTGCTCCATCCCTGCCTGCCTGCACATACCCCCTAGAACCTTCCCAAGTACCCCCAGCTGACAACCCCTGTGTTATAATTACATGTCACAACAGACTCAATTAATTGGGTCTGCTGGAGCATGGTAATTATTGGGCACCAGCAGACTCCAACATCACATGCATCAGTGTCCCTGCACTGAAAAATGGCGGTGGGGGCGCTTAAACTAAAACTTGTTTGACGAGCATTAGTTAAAGCGCACCCGCTGCCATTTTTCAGCATGGGGATACCGATACAGGTGACGCTCTGAGCCACTTCAATTAAAGTGCCCTCCCTGCCCCGTCCTCCTTCCTCCCAGGGCATGTGTAAAACACTCATTAAGAGCAAGATTGGCGCATTCATATGAGTGAACTTCCAGGTCTGCATGCCTGCAGACTAAGGTGGGTGAGGCACCTTCTCCCACAGTACAGGCAACACAACAACAAACCCACTGAAAAATGAAACTATGTACTCTGTAGCTTCACTCCATGGAACTAATGCACCTACAACGTTTAAGTGCTTTTAACTCTTCACCCTCAGTAAACTGTAAAACTCAAGAACCAAACCCCTCTAGAATAAGATACATTATCAGATGTATTTAGGTACAGTTGAAGTTATCACTTAATACAATCCACTGTGGTTCCTGTGTCACTCTAATTTATTTTAGAGTAAATCTACTGATTTCAGTTGTGAAGTAAAAAAATCAGGTTTATTAATGCTTAAAAATTATAATAAACTACTAGGAATTTTTATTAAATCACCTGTGGTTTGATCAGGCTTGCTGGATTTTAACTGTGAGGTACATAAATGCCTACCAACTTTGTAAACTTTTAAATAAGTAACAAAACTCATTTCTCCAGCCTCTGAATGCTCCAAACCATGGTTACATCTGTAATCAAATCCAACCATATCAAAAGAAATGGTAGTTTACCTACCAGCCTTAATAAGATCAGAAATTATTAAAGGTTCTTTAATTAAAGTTATTAACATTTTTAATTAACAGTCTCTTAGTTAAGTTCAGAAAAAATCATTTCACAAGCAAGCTTATCTATTACTCTGCAGTTTAATCATTGACTTTGAACTCTATATATTCAACACTTCTGTACAAATGCAAGAGTGGCCTTATTCATACTGACATACCCCTTCAATGTTGCTCTCTCTTGCAACTTCTACCCAGGATATTAAAGTTCTCCTTTCTGTGCCATTTTAAGTACTGGCACATCCAGTATCTTTTACAAGGGGAAACACTAGAGATACATTTTGCCCACTCTACCATATGGCAGCATTCAAGTGGTTTATTGCTAGAAGACGAAGGAGAAATAGCAAAAAAAACCTAGGCTGTTCTGCCTCCTCATTTCAGTAATCTCCATCTGGTCCTAAAGTTCCTGGAAGAAATAAGTAACATCCAAAAATCTTTTTTTCAAGTGTTTTAGTTTTTACATAACAGGAAAAATATACTTGAAATGACATACAGTGAATATAGATGAGAATGCTCCAGTCCTCAGGTGAAACTTAGCTGAGGTCAGCACACATCAGAGCAGAAATACCATAGGTGCTACAATGCCACATCCCTAGCCTCTGTAATCCAAAGCGGAGTTCTGACCTCCAGATGTTCTACTGACTGAGGATCACCTGGAGTGTGAAGCACACAGTTTTCACTCTTCTGAATCCTGCCATGCCTCTTGACTCATAGAAGCCAGGTGTAAACTTACTCAGAATGTCTCCTGCTTGAGAAATCCTCAGCTTTCCCTTTAGGGAAAAGTTAAAGTCTCACTGAATTCCCACATGAATTCAAACTGACCTCCCAAGGGGCCAACACTCAGGTTCTATATCTAAACTGTTAGGAGAACTAAGTTGTAAACTATGCTAAAAATGAGTCACTAGCATTTAATTAGTCACTCAGTATATAAAATAATTGTAAGCAAAGGGTGCAGAAAACCAAACATATACAATAAATAATAATCAATAGTAAATAGGTGTCTGCAGGTCAGGGGCAGGCAATTATTTTGGGTGGAGGGCCTCTTGCCGAGTTTTGGCAAGTTGTCGAGGGCCGCATGGGTAGCCCTGCCCCTTGACGGGTGCCCTGCCCCCTGGTGGCCATCTTGGGACAGGAAGTCCCCACTCTTTGCCACCAGAAGTCCCTCCCCTTGCCCCTGGAAATACTCCTTTCAGCAAGGGGTTTTGCCATCTCAGAACCAGAAAAATACCAAATTATATATTTTAAAAATCAAATATCTACAACATTCATTAATTTGATTTCAAAAAATATTTTTGTCCTGATTTACATGTGTTTGTGTAGTCTACATAGAGATGATCACACAATAGCTTAAAATGAAATCTTATTCTTGCATACTATGGGGAGTGGGGGTGATTGGGATGGGTATAGGTTTGCGGGGGCTGTGGGTATGTGGGGAGTGGATAGGTGTGGGGTGAAGGAACATGTGGGTTTGCATGTCATTATGTGGGAGGGTATGGGTTTTGTGGGGGGGAGGGTGTGTGTGTATGGCAATGAAAGGGGGTGTGTGGGTGCATGTGTATGGTGGTGTTTGCTTGTGGGACTTGTCCTATGAAAACACACACACTGTGCCTCCCTCACTCTCCCTCTCTCCTTCCCTTCCTCCACATACACACATTGTGCCTTCCTCACTACACTCACACACACACTCTCTCTCTCTTCCCCTCCCCCACCATATACACACACACACCTACTCCTGGCCCCCGGGTACCGGTGTAGTCCAGTGGTGCTCCCACAGTCCTGCGATGCAGCCCAGGGCCACGTGGTGCTGGAGCAGGCATGCAGAGAAGCAGTGAAAGCTGGGGCAGCAA